GCAAATGCTGTGATAAAGTGAAATCAACTACAAGACTGTATGACTTAAGCTAGAGAGTTAGTTTGTATGCTCAAATGTTGACATCTCAAATCTACAAAGTGTGTGAACTGACTTCTACACATAGAATTGTTTATAACATTTGTTGCGTTCCCAGCACGGCAGACACGGGGTGCAGCATAATTGGGTCCACCGGGTCAACCACAGTGAAGTACAGGACGGACAGCAGACTCTTACACACGTTTATTGGACTAAATCATGTAATCAGGCTAGCCGACTTGTTACAACACTTGTGGTGAAAACTAAGAGGAATGCACGATCTGTCTAAGCTAAGGAAACGAGCTAAAGTACTAATCTGATGACAGAAAACACAACTAGAGATCATGACTTACGTCTGATCTTGGCTCCGGGGATGAACTCCAAGTTGTAAAAAAAAACTCTGAAAGACTCATATAAAACTTCTCTTTACTCCAGGGACAACTCCTTAAAACTAAAATGTTCGCATGAAAAAAGGCCTAATATACTTCTATGATGTAAAGGAAACTAAACTGAAATAACTCTTTGTGTGGCTAGCCAAAGGATGTTTTATAATCATGCAATCAAAACGAAACAAGGCTACATTTTAAGAAAACAAAAGGTCATCTAATGTTCAAAAGCATTCTTCATACAGCGACGTGACAACATTTGCGAACTGACTTCTACACATTTGGGAACTGACTAGAGACGCTTGCAAAACAACCATCAGCAAAATGACCAACATTCACATGGACATGTACATCTTCATTAAAGCCTTTCACCCCTATGAGTGACTATATTTAGCATCTAATTCCTCTCTGCAACATCATCTCTGGATCAAACTTTATGATGAGAAGAATAAAGGAAATGATCACCAACTTAAGAAGTTCTTGATTGTTAAACAAATTCTCCTTATCAGTACCTTGGAAAATATTTAGAGAACAGTAGGGAGAATATGTCTGGTGATGTTTGGGTGTAAAGGATGAAATTTTAAGTGCAGGCTGGCATTCACAGAGACATATTCAGCTATGTAAAAACCAAAACAATGAGTGAAGAGATTCATAAAATTCACATTTACATGACCTTGTTATTTTAAGTCTACTCACCTGAATCATGTTCCCATTGCTCACTCTGGAGAGAGAACACATAGCTACTCTCATATTCAGGCATATTACTTTGATCTTTGTGCGATAAATGTAAACATAACATTGCATTACTTTCAGGAAATTTAGGGAGCAACAGTCTGGTGTAAACGTACAGATTTTACCAACATAATAAAAGTAGATGTAAATGAGATGTCACTGTTGAACATCTAGCACACACGATATTTGAGAAACAATGGCCTAATTTCAGCGTGACAAACTGGTAACGAAACTCCAACACCGAAGCGAGGCTCCGGGGAATAAGGCGCGAATAATGAAAACAAACACACCACCTAAGATCTAAGAATCTGTTCATTACATTTTAAGGAAAGTGATATCGAGATTTCAATTTCTGGTTGAAAAAGTGTACGTTCAGAATGCTATCCGACTATCTTTGACCCAAAGAAATCTACGAATACTGTTAGTTCGCGTTCGAAGCACTTTTGCAGCCAGGAACAGGCAACACCGAAAAGTAACACGAATGGTTCTGATACTACGCTTCCGAAAGGTAAATGTTTCACGCCATGAGGAACTGGTCCAGAGCATGTCCCTCTTTGAACAGTTTATAACCCGTAAGGCTTTTAAAAGATTTTAAGGTTTCTTCAGAGTACTCGTCGGTCGTTCCCAGAAGATAGTTACATATATCTGGAGAGGTGAACTCTGGAAATATTGTGAGGTTCCTACTACAATTTCAATAAAGATGCTGGGTCTGGTAAGACACCCTCGTCTGTGGCAAGTAATTCGGCCATGATAAGATTTTCATTTTCACTTTCCTCTTTCAGACACAGCTTCATTGAATGAGCATTAAACGCCTGCTCAACCAACTCGGCCTTTCTTACGCTTTCCTTCCGAGGATGTTTGTAGCGGCCGACAAAAGCGAAGCACATTTTGAACGACAACTAGACGCATATTTGCGTTCACTTGGGCTTTCTGTTGGAAAGAAACTTTGTTTTTTCCTTTGCGCCTACATGGGCTTAACTTTTTGTGCAATTATTGATTTATCCTGTAATTTTTTTCTGTCTTGCTATGCCAGAGATGAAGGTTTCTCACAGATGTATACAGAGAGCTGAAAACAGCTTTTGTCATGTAGTATAAAGACCTTTTTCTGGGGTGGGGTGGGGGGAGTTAGTGTCATACGTTAATGGCTATTTCTTCAATACATGTTACTCGACATTATTTCCATTTTTTTTCTTTTTTGAGTTTTGACTTGTAGTGGGCTGAGCCATTTGCCAAATAGGCTGTCTTCTTATGTTTTATTTTTCTTGGTTAACAAAAGATTCCAGGCTGAGAAAGCTTTTAATTATAAACAACCCAAAGTGTTAGGGTGATGGCTATTAACCCATGCAAGAAAACCAATTGCTTATTTTTTTAAATACCAAAAGAAAACAAAAAGTCACTGCCAAAGCTTATTAGCAGATGAACTATTAATTTTATGGGCTTGTTAGAGTGGCTCTCATGAACCTGTGAAGTATACTCCAGCATATTTTTTACTATTACCCTCCAATTGATTTGTTTCCATTTGGAGTTAGCAAAGAGAGTATAAAGCTACAGCACAACTTAGATTGAAGTTTGTGATTTCATTCACACTGTTTTGAGAAACCATCCTATTTTCAATATTCTCAATTTGTTCTCCTCTCACTTCAAATATATCACTGTTGTGTATACTCTGAAAATAATGCACTCAGCTATCAAGGGACAATACTCCGAGAAGAACACACGTGCCTTGAGGCTGCCCTCAACCATACAAATCTCTAGAGAATGTTTTAATTCTTTATTATATAAAACAAATAGATTCCAAGTTGCCGTGTGTCTGTTCAGTAATAGATCACAGATGACGTCAAAAGGTGGTAAGAACATCAGTGCTACACTCGGCTGCGCATCGTGTGCCACTTTTTTGTTCTTACCACATTTTGACGTCATCTGTGATCTATCACTGAACAGACGCACGGCTACTTGAAATCTATTTGTTAAGTGGATGACATGGGGATACAAGAAAGAATACGTGCATAGGCAAATTTTCTAATCTTTCTGCTCTTGTTCCTTAACCTTTTCAAACTTCGTATTGGTATTCTGCTTGTTTCACGATCACGTCTACATACACGATGAGATTTGCGTGTATGCTTCTCTCGATTAACATTAGATAGTCCAGTTGATATAGCATGTTTCTCGATGAGAGGTTCCTTCATTAACAAATAGATTCCAAGTTGCCGTGAAAAAAGAAGTGGCATACGAGGCGCAGCCGAGTGTATCACTGATGTTCTTACCACATTTTGACGTCCTCTGTGATCTATTACTGAACAGACGCACGGCAACTTGGAATCTATTTGTTTTATAAAATAAAGAATTAAAAAAAGTTTTAATGATGACGTCATCTATACGTTTGTCCTCCAATAGATCATAAGTGAGAACCAATCAGAAAGCGTGCATAACTGAGCTTATTAGATAAATTGTACTGTATAAAAGGCATTTGTTAGTTTAAATTGGCTTATTTCTTGCATTTGTAGTAAATCGGAAATCTTCTTAGAAAGTAACCCCAAGAATGGAGAGCGCACTAATTTGCGGAATACCTGACACGACAGGAAGCCCGAAAATAAAATTTTACAAAACCTTACAGCTTACACATGACTTAAACTGTTGTTTTGCCTCAAGATTACCTGTTTAAACCTGTTACTTTTTACATTCTTTTCTCTCGACTGTTTGCGTTCCATGATTGTCCTCTGGCTCGCGGTACCTCTTGTGTTTCCCTTAAGGTGTCCAGTATAGGGCAGTTTTTGCTATGGAGGCTTCAGGGAAGGTGACGTGTCCAATCCACCTTCAGCATCTCCTCATCAGGGTGGTAACCATTGGTTCAAGTCTACACCGTTCAAAGAGATCTTTATTTAAGATGATATTGGGCCCGAAAAGGCGTAGGCTCTTGGTCTGAAATGTGGAGAGTTTTGATAAATCCTTCTCTGTCAAGCGCCAACGTTCTGGGCCGTACAGGAGGGTTGTCAGGTTGCAACTATGATAAAGTTTCAGCTTAGTGCGAGTACTGTGAATAGACGAGCGCCATACCTTATTCATTATTTTGAGTGAGTTTCTGACCTTGTTAAGACGGCTCTGGATGTCCAGGTCAGTTCTTTTATCTCTTCCGATGATGCTGCCGAGATTGGTGAATATGTCGGTGTAAGGAAGTTCTTCATGATCAATCTGGACTGGGCGTGTGTTGATAGTATTCAGTGCCATAATTTCGATCTTCTTGCTGCTGATGTTGAGGCCAACTGCTTTGCAAAGGTGTAAATCCAGGTCTTTCAAGTAGGAGAAGGGTTTCCATCTTATGCCCCTGAACTGATCCTTAGTGGTGCGTCGCATGATCCAGTCCACAACAAAATTGAAAGGCAATGTAGACATGATACACCCAAGTATGACACCAGTGTGGACTTCGAATAAGATGTCACCTTCACCAACACAGCAGGTAAAGATGTCCGTAGAAGCTTTTAATGATCTCTACAAGGTGGAAAGGTACTCCACATCAAAGATATGTACCCTTAACTAAATAGTGTCACCTTGAAATTTGTGACTTCTACTTCTATTACTGATATATATAAGACATTGACTAATATTTGGTCTTCCTTATTTTTATTGCACCGGAAAAATTTTCGCTTCCAGTTATAAGCAAATTAAATTCGCAACACTCGCGTGGACTGTTTTCCATGTAAGGTACTTTGGTGTACAGAATTGTTTGTTTTTTCAAGACTAAAAGTAAAAAAAAATACATATAAAAATATGTTAAAGCTATACTTTGCCTCACGTCGCTGTTATTTTTGTTTCTGTACTTGCTTAATTAACACATGAAAGACTAAAACCTCATCCAAAAAAGCATATAATCTCAGATTTATCAATCCATCCTGTGCTCCATGAGGATGCAATCGCTAACTCGGCAAGATCGTCAACATTAACATAGAGTCGATCATCGTAATTTTCTAAATTTATCAGGCCCTGAAAAAAAAAGAAAAAAAACAGTCAAGTGTTTAGAGTGTTGCATACTCTCTTAAGCTTGCAATAAAGCTTTTTCTGAAACGCCTTTTAATCCTCCCAAAAGAGTATATTAATGGTGAAATCATATTTAAAAATAGGTGAACTGAACGTTCAAAGGAGCACACTTGTACTACCTGAATACGACTTCGTATTTACGTTAGGTTTTCGCCGATAGACTCAGAGAATTTCATGAAATACACACTCAATCCCATTTCCGTGTCTTCAAAACAACTTTAGAACTAATGTAAGAACAATCGATGGAATTCTGATTTGTCATTTTTACCTCAGAATTTAGTTAAAGTAGCTTCCAAACTCCGGTAATTTTCTAAAGAACTGTGGCAATACACAAGATTTGGCAACTAGAGGTTAACGATACTCTTAATGTGTATCTTGTATGTGCGAGAGCAAACTACGATCAAAGTTTAGAAATTCCCTTTGAAAAATCTACAACTCTACCTTATGGTGGTCTTCCATTTCTTTCAGTGTGTTCCTCATATCCTCAAAAGATGGTCTCAAGTTAGGGTTGTGTTTCCAACAGTTTGTCATTAAGTCATACCTAAAGCACAATAACGTCAAGAATATCTCAGCATCTTATTGGTGGCATCAGTAAGGGCGTTATTAGGCCTAAAATGTTGTGATTTTTCCATAAAGGTATAGTAGGACCATTTGGTCCTTTTCTTACTAATCACAAAAAATTGCAATTTCCTTTATTGTGATTGGTTTTATAAACTCCTATTTTCCATTTATTCATTTGCAAAGTAGTTATCGGAAATTATGTTATCTTAAAACTTTCATCGGACATTCAAAGTTGTATTTTAAAATCAACCAATCACAAACTTGGTTTCAATCACCATAGAAACAATGTACAGACTCCTAAACTAGGGCTTTCTCCCAAATGGCGAATGTTTATGTTTGAATTGTAAACAACTTCGGAGCGACATTAAATAATTTACACCTCCTTTGTCAGTTTTTTAATTCAGAAATTGTAATTTTTATGATCAATTGATAATAAGACTTCGTGTCGTCCAATTCGGTTTGTAATCATATCCGTAGTAGAGGAATTGGACTCCCGCTATCACACGCAAGAATACAGACCGATTCGAATCCACACGGTCCCTTTACCATTACTAATCACAAGATAAAAACTCGTATTATTCCAAAATTTCCCGTTGGTAGACTGGCTCAACAAGTAAAGCCAGTTAAATTTTGACTACAGCCAAAAAATTCTCAAAACCCTTAATTCAAAAAAACTATTTTAAGAGAAAAGGCGTCGTAAGAGAAACAACAACAAGGACAAACTTTTTTCATACAACTTATTATCCACGTGCTGTGGTCTAGGCATTCTGTATCCCGCTTCTAGCGATGTTAAAATTTGTCTTCCATCCATTTTTGGATACGGCGAGCCACCTGAAATAGAGAAGCTACTCAAAATACACCTTACAAAAAGTCTCAACATTTGTAAATTTAGCTTTACATTAAACATTATGTACCATTGCTCATCTTTTTCCCAGCTTAGCCTACCGACTTCTTGGCGGGTCAACATGAGTTTTATGGCTAAAATTAATGGCCTGTCCATCAGCTCTTTAACTTACCAATCGTGAAAATCTCATAGAGGAGAACTCCGCAGCTCCACCTGTAGAACAAACGGCATAAATTTAGAGAAATAATCGTTCTTGTCTTTGAAAACAATTTTAACATCTTCTGTAAGCCGTTGTGGGAAGCGCACTCATATGAGCTGATCCTGGGCCGGTACTTTACGGAAGAAAGCCAATAATTTTTCCCAGAGGCTATTCCCATTAAACTTAAAAAATAATGTTAATGTGGTCCTTGTACTCACACGTCACTTTTGGTAGAATATTTCCCGTAAAGCAGCGCCTCAAAAGCTGTCCACTTCAGAGGGATACGTCCCTTGATGAAAAGCATATTGAATTGATCGGCAAAAGTGCAGAAAAGAGCAAGAATGAAAGTCATAATTTTGCGTGTAGTAGACTGATCACACATCCCTACCTTGGTTGACAAATTCTAGCGGTAATATGATATGTTGGAGAACAGCAAACAGAGCCAGTGATTAACTGAAAATCTAAACACTCTCCCTAGCTAATTTCGACACCAACTTTTGGCTCAAAATAGTTAAGTACCTTTGACCTCATTTGATAAATGTTATCATCTAGGACATCTCTGGCCATACCAAAGTCTGTCACTTTACACGTTTCCCCCGCTCCAACGAACACATTACGAGCTGCAAGGTCTCGATGGATAATCTACGACAAATAAAATCAAATCTTTAATGTTGAAACGAATTAAGGGGGATCCAGAAGAATTTAATGAAAAGAAAAATGACGGGACCAATGTCCGATTTCAGCAACATGTGTCAAAGTAACATTTCAGTAAGTAGATAACGTTCCTGCTTACTGGTATCGATGACAAATACGACATTCCATCGGCAACTTGCCACGCAAACTTCATAAGCTGCTCTGACGTCAGATTTGTTTGTGGTTTGATATCCGGGTCTTCGAAGTAAGTATCATTCAATCCACGGCTATTTCTGAGGTATCCCAATAAATCTCCATAGGGAATGTATTCAATCAACACCATCAATGGCTCTGTAGAGCATGGAAACATGAAATATGTTTATACTATGCAAGAGATCTGCTGGAAAATG